AGAACCTAATCATGAAAAACAGGGATTTCAGCAAAGGCACTGAATACAAAGAAACACTACGCTTATCCTTTGAGGACAAGGATAAATTAAGTGGTCCATTTATTTATAGATGTCAATGTTCCCTGTGGCCATGCAGGTGTACGTGTTATGAAAATGTCCTGAAGATTTATACCAGCCAATAAGTCTCTCTGCTCCTCGTCATTGGCTAGGTCATTCTGTCCAGTCCAGTGATGAGCTGGACTGACTTTCACCCTGAGGTTCCCATGACAACAACTCATTCTCAAGCCACAAACCTTCTACCCAACCATAAAGCTGTGACAGCACAAACCAATCAAACACATGCTGCTACAACAGGCTTCCCGAGCAATGTTCTCCAGCTTCCCCAACAGCCAGGACGTTCACAAGCTGTTGCCAGATGACTGGCACATTCCAACTCTAGCAACGTCCATCTGACAAAATCCATTTGACTCGAATGAACAGAAACAAAAGAGAAACTGTGAACCACATGCAAGTAATTAGAGCACCATCTGAAGCCTTTAAGGCTAAGGTGCTAGTGAAGCTCATCATATACCTGTAAGGGACAGAGGTCGGAAGTTCATTTTAAGCCCTGCTGCTGGGGCAAACATGTTGATGTGGACGAAGAGACGGAAAGGAGTTCTGCCTTGGGCAACAGCCTCTAATTGCATTCTGCTGGGTCGAGAGTGGATATCATGTGATCCCCTCTGACGTCCCACCAGATACTTTGTCACCCCTCCTCCCCTCTCCACTGCTCACTCATATGATCCAGCTTACAGAGCAAAAACATGCTTCTTGCGCCGATTTTTAATAGGGTATTTCAGTAGTGTACTTAGGGCCAGGACCATTTTACAATTTATCAAGAATTAACAGCAATGAAATCAAACCGCAGAATTAATCAATTTCCATCTATTCTTTTTGGATGCATAAGCGCTGTGCAAATCACTATCCAAAACTCCAGTCCTTGTTTTACTTCATGTACAGCCACAGCAGTGAATCCAGTGTGAGTGAATGTCATACTGATGTGCTGGCACACAAGCAAAACATCATCAAACAGTATTTTACGTTGTATATTTTCACATTAGTAGGTTTTTATAGGCTTAACGCAGTGAAACCTTCACATCAAGTCCAAGTCTAGCTTTTACATCAACACTGAGAACGCAGTACGATGCAGAGGAAGAAAGAATGGGTTCAAAGAGTAGTAATAGCAACAATGAGTAACAGTCCATTCTGCTAAAAAAGTTTCACAAACTTGAACGAAGTTAAGGTTTTGCAGCAGTGCTGCTCGAAGTGCTAAAATGAACAAGAGCAAATGTGAGCTCTGATCTGAGAGATGCAAGTGTTAATATGTTGTCAGTAAAACTCAGACTAAAGCAAATGGAAACTGTCCTACAAATACTGAATTGGTAACTGCAAATCACCTATATCTTTATATAATGGAAAAAAAAAAACATTATTCGAAATATCAAGTTTTATCAATTTTCCAAAAATACTTATTGTTCCAACTCCAGCATTTCTACGTTTAATCAGCTTTAGTTCATGTACAGCTGATTGTTTTCTCTTTCATAGGAGTTTCTTAGTAGGGATGGGCAATTCAGTCAAACTTGATATTCACATTACAAAAAGCATTAGAAAAATACCCTCTCAACCTTGTTTGGCGACAACACATAGCATCCAAAAACTAGAAACAATTGCTTTTGATGAAGGTGCTCACACTGCCACTGGTTAACACTTTCCAGCACTGCTCGCTGTCTCTGTGCAGCATCTCTCAGCTACTGCCTTAAATCAAATCCAGAACCAAATCACAAAAGTCACAGTTGGTGAGACGTACCATAAAATCTAAGATAACCATACAAGTGCTACGTTACTTAATTTTACCAGCCGACTCACATCAGAACTTATTTCACCTCCTACCTTTTAGCTTAAAAACAGTGTCTGTGATGCTGAAAGTTTTTTTCCATTCAATACATATTAGAAGAGTGTAAAATGAACCTGAACGTGATGTTTATGAAGCCTTTCCTGCAATGCTTCCTATGTGCTATAGCTGAGCTTTGTATCTCCTGGCTCCTCACTGCCCTCTGATGGAGCATAGAGTTCAGACATCTCATGGCTTTATAGGAAAGTCAGAAAAGTAAAATTGTTAATCAAAAATGATAATTTACTACTAAGTTTTTTAGACCATCATGACTATTTGATGGACATTTGAGGCAAAATTCTCATTCAAACTTTATTATTCTGAACTTTCAGTATACAATGTTAGTAAGCAGCTAAGTTGATTATCAAAAATAGACAAAGTTACTATTTGAATTTTAGATATTCAAAACTATTTAAAAAAAATTGACTCAACCCAACTTCAAATGTAGCTTCATGTTATTTTAGCACGATACGACTGACCTCAAGGTCCTTTGTATGACACTGCCTGTTCAGATGGTTAATTTGTACTGAATTAATTTTGAATACAGCAAAACTATGCATGACTTGTTTTTTGCTCTTCCAAGAATGTTCCCAGTCATATGATGGCAAAGTGATGAGCTCTGCCTGATTGAGATTCTGAGCCACATGCTAGCAAGATGCAGGTACTTAACTAGGCTAAAAGGTCATGTATTATTGACACGGTCTGCTTTAACTGGCCCCTGCACTATACAGAGGAAAACAAGAAATGAAAAGAAAGCAATTAATATTAAATCCACCAAACTGGGATGATATGAATTGGAAGCATTCAAGCGATGTTGAACTGGAAGTTCTAGGGTGGCTGCATGGTAAGAAGTCACACTGCGATAACAGCAATGAGTAAAAGGTTCTCTTAACTCGTCCTGATATTTACAGATTGCCCAAAATCATGAAATACTGTATGTACAAAAACACAACCCAGAGGGTGTTACAAGTACATGCAAATTCATTATTTAAATGTTCACATATCTTCAAGATGAATGGCTTCACTGGCAAAACAAAAAGCTTGACGGGCTTTCAGGCATCCACATGCAGGCCTCACAAAGCAACCACTACCACCTCAGAGCATTCAAGTGACGTTACATGAGTAGTGATAATATGGTGCAGAGCTTTTTATTCATTAAAGGAAAAATGACAGTCAAAAGATTTCCAAACCTTGAAAGAAAAGTGCTGGAAAAATAAGATTTTTATAGATACCTCCAGATACGTCACTATTTTGATCGTAAAATTAAAAACATTGGACATGAATGAACCAATATTGCAAGTAATTCAATCAAATTCAATCAGTCAAAGGCATTATATCTAGATTATATAAGGGTTTCATACAGAGAAAACCTTATTTTACACAATATATTAAAAACAAATGGGAAAAGGAAGGCAGCTTTGTCATTATTTCAAAAGGTTAGTGGTCAAAATTATGTGCCTCACAATGGAAGTACACCAATTCATATGTATGGTGGGAGTTTAGATGAAGGTGTCATTCGTTTTTTTGTTACTCCTAAACAAAAAGCACATTTTACGGGGCACGTAGCTCCACGTTGGAGACTATGCGAGAATCAGGCAGCCAACCACTGGCATATATTCTGGGAACGTCCAATAATAAAGCATGCCTTACACACTGCACCTTTAATAAATCTTCATATTTATTTTACTTTTTTTGTTACCACGTTCAATGATGTTCACATACACACAGATCACTAGGCACATGGGGCTGTCAACTAGGTGTCACCCTGAGGAACTCTTGATTAATGTGCCCCACACTGAAGCTCACTATAACTTCCCAGCAGATCTATGACTGGAGGTCTGCAGTACTCTTCATCTGTAGGTTGAGGTTAATGGAAATGTGATCTCCATCTCTGTCTATGATGGTATTTCACCAGCTTGTCCGTGCAAATACGCAATCAATTAGCTAAGTGCCGTAGCTCCTATTCTCTCCATGGTGGAGAAATGCCTTTCGAATCACCAAATCTGTGAGCTTTAAAACTGCTGAGCTCACTATTCAACTCACGACTATACACAACGGATACATTTACTGATATATTGCATCTCGGGAAGCCTGAGGCTTGAAGAGACGACGCCTTATACACATTAGCTTAAGTGTCATGAAATTGAGTTTAATCTAATGTGCCTGTGTTGGTAAGCATTTGTTCTCCTATGTGGATACATACTGCTGTACTATGCAGTTCAGACATACTTGGCAGCTTTCCAAGCAATCTCAATTAACTTCTAGTGTGGTCCTAGGAGAAAACTTGCAGATATACAGCCATCTATTTCAACACAGATATATATATATATATATATATATATATATATATATATATATATATATATATATATATAAATAAATAACTCTACATAGAATATGCTTCTTTAATAGGGAACCCCTGCGTAATACAGACCAAATCACTGTCCACTACATGAACATTTCAGAGGAAATTCCACTGATTTTCGGTAACATTTCTGCATAATTAAAAAGTTTCTGGAGAAAACAAAATCATTCAGAATGTTTGCCATTCTAGAGAAATCAAGCCAGAATTGTTCATGTGTTGTGGTGAAAGAATAAGACTTCTCTCAATTTTTTACCCCAAATGGTTACAAAAACAGTGCCTGATGCCTGAGACATTGTTTTGAGACAGACTTTTAAAAAACAATCATGACAGAACGGTACATACAGCATCTCTTCAGCCACTGAATGCAGTACTTTACATTGTGTGAAAATTTCATGATGAATGGAATGATAGAAATGCTCCTACATGACTTAAAATCTCTTTGCATTAACTTACATTAATAGTAAAGAATGTTTTGCCTTCTCCTGCCAAACTAACATTTTTTACACAGCAAGGATATAAAACTCAGAAGACACAGGTGGGTTCACCGGTTATTTTACACAGTAAATAAAATGGCTAGTATTGCTTTATAGAAATCACAACCCCTGGTTTCCAATCACCACCACTGTTAAAAAAGAATTAACCCTTTGAAATCCACCTTTAGGTTTATGAGGACATTTCCTTAATAATACGTAAAGACTGTCTTACCTGTGAATCTGCCCATTTTTGTGCAAGTACTCGAGTCCTTGTAGAACTTCTTTCAGAATGGTAGCTATACTGGGCTCATCCAGCACTCCAGTCTTGTGCTCCCCTCTTGAAATAATGTGCTTGATGACATCCAGGACAGAGCCTGATGGTAAGAAAAGACAGGACATGGCATCAGAGAGAGGTCCTTAGAGCACTCTATACACAGAACCAGTGCTGGGCCATACAATGTTGATTTCACTGTACTAAATAAATAAATAAATAAATAAATAAATAAAAACCTGATTAACAGCAGTGCATGTCTGTTCCTTACTGAGTTATTAGTACATAGCTCAACATAAATAGAAAGTTCTCTTTCTGCAAATCTGGTTAAGGTCACTCACAGCACACCATGAAAGTAACTTTTTTCATCATAAGTGTTCTTGGATTATTGAGTAATTGGCCACATTTGACACCACTTACAGAAAAGTCTCAAATTTCACATGTAAAGTGTGCAAAAACCACGTCTACAAATGATCATCAATTCACACGTGAACACGTTTTCACATGATCACACAATTCCTAACACGATCTATTTTTAACTTGTGAAGTGTGCAAAAACTATGTTTACAGGTGATTCAACTTTTTTCCCCACATATGAACACATTTTCACGTGATCACATGATTTTTCACGTGATTAAACATTAACGTGTGCAAAGACCATGTGTTTATTCTGTAAAGGACAACCTATTAGTATTTCACGACAGATTTTTTTATTCTATTATTTAGATTGGAAAAATCTGGCTCAAACACTATAGAACTGTATTGAATTAAATGTGTTTTGCATTCATTTACCAGACTTTTAAGTGACCACTACAACTGCCCCCACCATCTCGTACAACTAGTTCCACCCAGGCTAGCTGTAGCATTTCACTTTCACCAATTTTAGCTGAATTATTCATAAACGGTAGGTGCTGGAAACAAAGTTTAGTGTCATTTGTAGCCTACGTGTAGGTTATTTAAAATTAAAAGAGAGCATGTCTATGCACATATATCATGTGTTGTGTGTTTTGTGGTTAAAATGAAGAATTGACAAATTATGTTGTATTGTTGTATTGTACAGTTCGAAATCCAGTGGGAAACAAAACATTGGGACTAGAAACGAAATACGGGCCATCGAAAGAAAATTTTAGCGATGGCCATATACAGAGCCAAGCAGAGAACAGCCACGAAGGCAAAGAAGTCATACGGAAAAGGAAGAGAGTACACAGCGTCTTCTGTCTGCACGTTTCTATTGGTTGACGTACCTCCACGTCAGACTCCGCTGCAGCAAAAGTTGGAATGGTTTGAACTTTTTCGATGCTCGATGATGCGTCTTTTCACTGCATACAGACGCAGCGTCCAAACTGAAATACACTGGAGGACTGCGCTTCAGACGCTGTGTCAGCTTCTAGCGTGTAGGCACTCTAACACGTTTACTGTATTAGCTGGTGCAAAACTAAAGAAGCAAACTGCAGACAACAAACATGTCTTGATCACATCCAAATCGTGTACATTTTCACTGAGCCATCACTATAAATATGTCCATGGCAGGTCATTACCTCATTTTGAATTGTACTGTTTGTGAGGATTCATTCAATAATCCAGCTGATACCTTAAATTTATACATAGTGTTCAGCTCAGCATTACACCATGGGTTCAGCAGGCAGTCCCTGTAACAGACTTCAGTGCTGTATCTGAGGGTCAGAGCACACACTAGTTCTCTGGCAGCTGTCCAGGAAACACTGTCTCTACAGAACCATCTCTTAATTAGATTAAGTAAAACAAGACTCTTTTTCTGTGAGATATACAGCAGCCATAAAGGCAAACGCTTCAAGGTAAACCGCATAGTTGATCCCAGTTTTTCCCATGACATCTCTGTTTGGACAAAAGCCAAAAATGAAAGAACTGTACTATCAGCATCTTTATTGCTTGATAGCATCTTAAGTGCACTTGAACGGAAGCCAGGCCCCTTTGGCTGAGGAAGCTCCTAGACAGACAGAGCAAGCTGACGTAAGCGTCCCAGGCTGAGATACAAGCCGAACTGCTGAAAGAGGCTCCTGATGCTGGAGATTAACATTTCAACAGTTTTGACTATTTGAACACACATATTTTTAAACAAATAATATTTAAACATCCCAATGTGAAACTTTAATCACAAAGATAACCTAACATTCTTGCAAATATGAGCAAAACCTTCACGTTTTAGAGTTTTGTTTAAACAACAAATCTGTGTTTAACTGCATTGTTGGTTTGTATATTTTCTAAAGATGTACAATAACACTTTTTCCCTTCTGATACCGATACTTGATCCTTTAGTGTCAGCCGATACCGAGTACCGATACTGATACTAACACTATCTAACCTAACTCACCTATAAATCATGATATTTCTACAATTACGGCTTTGTGTTTTTTTCTGGCTTGGTTGAAGTGACGGGCCACGAGACCCCGCTGCTGAGTGATACAGCTGACCGATGGAGGAGCGCCGCAGACAGGGCTAGTGGACGCACAAGCCCGGCTATCAGGCTGCTATGCTAAAGGCTAAATCGAAGCCTAAATTGGTAAACATTTCACGATAATGTCCTGAGTTTTGAGCACAAAGAATCTCGTAGTCTTCAGCTGAATAAAAAAAGCTCTGCGCTGATAAAAGATGCCTAACAGCAGCACATGTAATTTCCATCCTTGTGAAATTTCAGGGAAGCGGCTTTGCTTGTGCTTCTTCCCTCGGGAACAATTTGCATGTCAGGAGGGAAAGAAAGACGCATGCACAGTCCTGGAGTGAAATTCTCAGAACCAGAATTCCAAGAAAGAAGAAAGCAGCACAGATCTCAATGACCATCTCAAATAAAACTCACTGGAAAGGCAGCATGGGTGATTTGGTACGTGGAGACTGGAGGTCCTGAGATGTGCCGTTACTGAAATGGGCAGTGTGCCCATTAGATTTATCTCAGTGTGGCCAGGGCATGAAGCCAGGACAGAGCCACGAGGATCTTTATTGGCGCTCTGCTTCAGGATGCTCTCCATCTCCAGTCCGCTCAATAACAGATTCATTTCAGAGTGCAGAGGGGTCACGGAGGCTTTCTCGGGATTGAGATGAGCTAAACTGTCCAGTTACAGTACCGCAGGGCGAGAGAAAAAGAAGAGGCAGAGAGAAGATGAGGCATAAAGTTCAGGCTGATAGGGTAGGCCACTTAATTTCTCTAAACTGATTGCATATCTTCAGTTCAGCCTTCTCAACACAATCTCCCTGGTGGTCAACTGCAGTGCACAGAAAAGGCCCAGCGGGGGCTTTAGCCTCAGCCCCATCTGCCCTCTGGTTTGGTATGTATGATAGTTGTATTTCACGTTCCCTCCATGACTGTTAAAAATCAGATTTGCTGAGGTTCATTTGGTTCATAGAGAACGCGCTAATGGGTCGGTTTCATTAGCTCTGGCCTGTCGCGGCTGCATATCACAAAAGCACTAGAAATCCCTACGATAAAGCACCAGCTACGACTCCAAGAAAGCAACACATTCCGTAACAGGTTATTTTGATCAAACAAACAGGTGAGCAGTAAGTAACTAACCTAGTGGATAACACTAAAGCTATGTATCCTGGTGACTGGGGTTCAGTTTAATCTCTGGTGCAAATGGTAATGTTTTATGCCCCACCCACAGGTACATGGACATTTTGAGAGCGTAGTTTTTTTCCCCCTCAAAGTTTTGGCCTCCCATCCAAACAAAACAGCAGTTAATTGAAATGAACGTTTTTGAAAACGCTCTGCAGGAAGAAGATTTGTGTTCAGTGTTTCTGTGTGGACAGTTTTCTGACAACACTGACGTCACACCATTAAATTGTGCATTTGAATTTGGACTGCAAATATTAAAAATCTCAGTGAAGATATATGACAATGATTATTAACCAAACTCTGATTCAAAATAAATCATAACTCCATAATTCAAATGGAATGAAAAGCGAGAAAAAACCAGAAAAGCTTCTCAGCCTGATCAGGACTGTGTGGATGTCTCAGAGATGGTGCTGTAGTCATGGCAACATAAACAAACCCATAGCAAGAGGCAAGTTTTCTTCTGCTTTTTCGGCCTTTATTTTCCAGCAGATCTGTAGCACACGGTTCAACTGATCTGACTGAAGGAATGGTTGGTGAGTGAGTGAGCGAGTGAGTGAGAGAGAAAAGAAGAGAGAGAACTGTTCAAAATTAGATTTGCATTACTGCTGACAGCCAAACTCAGGTTAATCTGGATTGCTGTGTATGTAAAGCCCCCTACTGAGCTGGCTGGCAGGCAGGGCGCAGACTCGAGCTTTGCCCAATTCACAGCGTTCAAGCCTGCAATTTGAGGGACGTGCTTGATTCTAATCCAAGGCCCTCTTGGAAGCAGCTGGAATGAGATGTTTCTCAGAACTCTTTTGCAGCACCTAATGGAAAAGCTGTAGAGCAATTCCCTTGATTCCACAGCAGGCAAAGGCTCTTTGTCCACAAGCCACTGGAACTGCCGTCGCTGGTTTCCTGTAGGCCGCGGGTTGGCATGGAAGGCATGAATTAACACACGCCCACTGGGTCAAAGAGCAGAGAAGCGTGCCAGGTCAGTGACTGGGGAAGGATCAGCGTTTCAGTGAAGGAGAGAAGGTCAGGAGGGGCGAGGAAAACATAGGAAGCATCTGCTGTTGAGCAGTAGGTTAGGACCATGGGAAAAAGCCAAGTCAGTTTATGATTCCCTTTAACAGCCACTGCTAAGCTCGAGTTTACATCATGAACTATAATCACTGGGTGACTATAGGTCATGATGTATTAGGCCAATTTAGTTCAACTTTGGTTAGCCTACAATACATTGTGCATCATTACTGACACCATGGAACAAAAAATACTAACAGTCAGTAGTGGACAGTACAGCCAAAAATGTAAATAACGATATATAATTACAATTTTAAATAATTAGCCAACTACAGCTTTATCTAGTTAATTTGTCTCATAAACCTAAACGTTTTTATAGATTACTGTGCAACAGCTGGCAGAGAATTAATAACCAATATTACCATGTTTCACCTCCTCCTTCCACCCCCACCTATCAGGAGAGAAAATGCTCATCTAGCTCAGAGACACTGCCCTGATATGGCTTTTCATTGAGA